TTTTTAGTGATGAAAATCAATTATTTGATGTTATACAAAATAATGTTAATGAACTTTAAAATTGGATCTTTTTTTGTTTTGTTTTGTTTTTTGTTTTAGATGGTTAATATAAATGGCATCGTCCAGTGAAAATGATGAAAATAGTTCAACAGATGATAATGAAGATATCATTTTTTACGATGCTAATAGTAGTTGGACTAATAATGAAATAATCACGTAAGTGATTCAATCAATCTCAAATCAAAAATAAGCAGGGTCGCGTTTTAAATAGTTTTATTTTCGTTGTTTGATATATGCGCAGTATTATAACCATATTTCATTATGTTGTCAATTATCGAATACTTGTTTATTAGACTGTTTGATAACTGCTATCAACTGTTTACGATATGACAAAATATAGTTGTAATAGTGCGCATATCCCATGTCAATTTGCAACTGTTTATGACCACAAACTGTATGCACTGATAGTACACAGTACTGTTTTTGATCTTGCATGACAACTAAAATCATTCTGAGATTGATTTTAAATGAAAGTTATAAGAATATAGTTTGTCGACAAACAACTTTGTATTGATAATGAATATAAATGTTGATGAAGATAAAACAAATTTCAAAGAATTCATACATACATATGAATCTATCTTCTAAGAAATCTCAGAGTATCTCAAAGTAATTTATTTTGCCTTGAAACAGCTTTCATGATCCATACAATATCTTAAATATTTCGAATCAAAATTTTGTTAATTTGTTTGTTGGTTAAATACCTTATTGTTATTTGTGACCTCGTCAGAAAAATGATGATAATTCAAAAAGAATGAACCTTATTAGAAACTCACGAGACTGTCCCACGCTTACATGTTTTGCATGTCTCTTTCTTTGATCGTTCGGTGAATGTATTTCGAAAGCGCGAAATTATTTCTTTCGTATGCTTCAAACCTTAAGATGGCGTAACATGCGCTCCATAGAGATTTATGCAATGTTGTATAGACGTGCGCAGCTTGAGAATTTAATTGTATTGAATATATGGCATTCTTTTTTGTCATCCATCTACCTGATATGCTTTGATACTGAGCAAGGATGAGGATGCTAATTAGACTTTTTTTTTGTCAACAAGTCTCCATCTGACACGCTCATGCTTACTCGTCTTCAAGGTAAATGTCATCTTTTTCAATTCAATTAAGTTTGCACGTTTTCATAATATATATTCATTATTAATCTTGATAAGTTCATTTTTACCTCGGAGGTCAAAATCGACCTGACTGGACAATAAAACTTCATTTTTCCATCTTCCAAAAATGTCCTTGTCCAGGTCGTTTTCTTGTTAGAAATGTTTATATTTTTTCTGTTACGAAGCTGAATTTTGTAATTATTAAGTCAGAAAAAAAAGATCGCTTTCAAAAAAAGACGGTCTATAAAGGTGCGTCTATGTTTTCCTAATAATCCAAGGAAAAGAAACAAACATCGAGCTGTAAAATATTATAAATAATTAATAATTCATATATATATATATATATATATATTATTTTTCTATTTCTTTAATATTAGATCTCTTCCACAAGATCCTCGTTGGGCACTATTATCAAAAAATGATTCATTAAAAAAACCTGTATGTTTTATTTAAAAACAAAAGATTAATATTGAATTATTTGATTATCATATATATGTTTCTTTTTGTATCAGGAACATTTTTGTACAATTTCATTAACTGAAACTCAATTAAATGATATTGCACGACGTGACAAACTTCAACGGTTACGTGCTCAAGAAGATTACATCAATCAAAATAATCAAAATCAAATAACTACAGTACTTCCATCACCAATTGAGCCAAACTCTATAGTATCATCAATAACATTATCACCTAGTCAATCAAATCAAATCGAAGAACAACAATCAATTAATGATGATAAATCAATAGCACCTGATCTTCTTATAGATCACATTGATAATGAACATACTCGTCGACAAAAAATGGTTTGAAATTTATAATTAATCATATATTATACTTATAGTCTCTATCTGTTTTATCGAAAAATCTAATCAGTTTAGAAAGATAATACAATACAGAATGTTGCAAAAGTCTATCATGAAAGTTAACGTAAATATCTCTTATACAATTCAAGAGATTTTATTGATTTTTTTTTTAATAATATGTAAGTATGTTCTTTAACGTCTTGTTCTGTACATTTTAAGATAAATGTCTGTGCCTATAAACATTAGAATAAAAATAATTTTATAAATCATCAAATTTGAGCCACCTATGATTGTGAAACGAAGAGTGCAAGTCAAATTCGACAAAAATACAGCAAGTGAAAATTATATTAAAGTTATATTTCAATGCATTTATACAACTGGCACAGCGGAAGACCATTAAAAATTCCAGAAGAAAAAGTTGACGAAGTTTATGAAAAATAAATCACAATCAAGTTTTCGAGCTGTCGCAAAGATTTACTCCATTCTGTGAACAATAGCGTATCGAATTATGACTGAATACCGTTCATGGAAACCATACAAGGTGTAAGTTGCTCATGGAATGAAACAGATATTTGCAACAGTTCGAAAAATTGATTGTGGTTCATTGTTCATAAACTTTGTCGACTTTTTCTTCTGGAATTTTAGACGGCCTTC